TAATATTTTGTTATAGTAATATTATATTACTTTATATCATATTAATAATATTAATATTATGTATTTTTATTATGTATAGGGAATAGTCATCAACAAAAACATTTTAAAAAATTAAATTCACACCCCCTAAAAATTTAATCTTTCATGTTTTAACAAATGAATGAGAACTTTTGTTGAAAGATTACTTTCTAAACTTTTAGATGAAACCGTGTGTCAAACGCGGAACTTTTGGAAACTCTGAAAGATTTGTTTCTTAAAGAAATGTTTCAGAAACAAACACCCCTTAAGAGAAATATAACTTTCTCTCTTCTTCTTCTCTACAGAAAAAGACTTCTCATATTTCTAATATGGATGGAGGGAATAATAACCATATTTAAAAAGATATTTGGCCAACAAATCACTTTTTTTCATATTACCAAACTGCCATTTCGGCAAAAAAACATGTTTGAAGGGAGTCCTCCTCATGGACGGACTTTCCCAACAAGTGATTCATTATTGCCATGTTTTCTATAGTTAACACCTTAACAATTTAGTTAAAAAAAAGGAAAGTGAGCCCACTCATGAAGACTTTGAGTCCATTTCATGCTTCGTGGATCTTATAAATGACTTCCACTCCTTACACTGCGGCATGGTAACCGGTAGTCCGTGATTTAGGATTTCGTTTAAATTTGGGCATGACAAGGTGCTGGCCCATGGCATACAATTAATTCGAAAGTGTATATAACGAGAATATTTACCTTTGATATAAGGTGATCACAATTACTTACAATCATCTAATGTGAAATCTGAGAGCTTGAGTGTGTAACAAAGTTCGAGAAAAATTGTTTTTAGTGGTAATAATTGAGTTGCCAAGTCTTGAGAGAGATGGGTTCTCTCATATCGCATCCATGTGGGCGACGCTTTGGCATCTGAGTTCCATGTCTTGATTTTTCTTGTAAAAAAATATTTTATTTTGAACTTTGAGTTTGGTTAATGAAATGAATGTTGCCACCTAATTATACATCTAACGATCAAGATTAATTGTGACCACCTTGTACTTAAGGTAAATAATCTCATTATATACTTTCCCACAATAAATACATATAAATATTAAAATGTTTTGAAATAGATGCACATGTTTAAACTTTCTAGATGCACATGATAAAAATATCCCGGATGAAATAGTAGGCTATTATTACCAGCCTCAACTTCCCATTACAGGGAGAAGGGAGAGGATTTTCAGCCATCAAACGATTAAAAGCCAATAATCGGAAAATCTCTTAGGAAGATTTTTCTTAAATATAAATTTTGGACCACCTTACTAATGAGAATTCCAATACCAAAAAAAAAAAAGATGCAGTTTCTATAAGGCTTAGGTTTTATGAAAACAAAGTAAAGCCTCACTTTGAATCCTCGTCCAAAAAGTATTTTGGCATAAAAAATCTCTATGATGGCTCTAAAATCAATTTTCAACACTAATTATGAAATTTAAACCTAAAAACAATTATAGATTTTGGGGACTTATGAGGGTGAAATTGACGATCTAGATAATTTGTTACAAGATACATTATTTTTAGAGCTTAAAATCATATTTTT